TTTAAATCTGTTTCATCACTTTCATCTGGGATCAATACATCAACTCATCAAATTGATCAAACTTTTTACATTTTAAAAAACCATTTTGAAAACAAACTGATTGGTCGACCTTCAGTAGCTTACATTTATTTTGTGGTAGAAGATTTATCTCTCTTTCTATCGATGTGTTCAAAGTAAAGTCTGATCACTTATTATTTGAAAGCTTCAGACACAGACTCACTATTAATCATTAACTTTATTGACTGATCACTGATATCAGTGTTTGTGGTTAATCAACATATTCATGAGGGTCAGAGACTGTCCTGCTGAGAAACACACCATCTGTGTGTGTGTGTGTTAATTAGTGTTAACAATCACACTCCACCCTCTTCCTCTCTAACACCGTAAAACCTCCCCCACACCATCACACACAGACTCCACACAGTGTGTCTGTCTGTCTGTCTGTGTGTGTGTGTCTGTCTGTGTGTGTGTGTGTGTGTGTGTGTGCTAGTGAAGTAGTCGCTCGACCTTCGTTCGCTCTGAAGATATAAAACAGACACAACAAACAACGACTTCACTGTAAAAACAACTTTGTTTGAAAAGTTTCCAACTGTTTTCAGCAGCTGCGTTCACACTCATCACAAAGTGTTCCTCGGTGATGTCATCAGTCGGATCAATCGTGATGATCAGTTAGAAAACGACTCATTGATGAACCAGTTTCACTTTTGAACTTTGAACTAAGTTTGTCTGTTTCCCTCAGATCAGTTTTATTCACTCAGTAATTGAGTCAGTTTCAGACGCTGACTCACCTTCACCTGAAGCGTCTGAGTCAGCGTCTGACAGCGTCTGCACAACAGAGAAAATCCTGCATCTCAGGAAGTTCACCTTCGTCTTTTTCTTTTCTCAGGTCTGTTTCCAGCCATTTTGAACCTGGCGAGTAACGCAGTGATCAGCAGCAACGCCACGTGTGGAGATCCAGAACCTGAAGTTTACTGTAAACTGGTCGAACACGTTCCCGGGAGAATCATCAAGAACCCACACTGTCCCAGATGTGACGCCAACTCAGTCCTGTCCAAAGGTACCAGGACCACAGAGTCCACCTTAAAACCAGACCAGAACCACAGAGTCCACCTTAAAACCAGACCAGGAAACAGAAAAATAAAACTGCACATTCACTGGAAACAATGTGTGTGTGTGTGTGTGTGTGTGTGTGTGTGTGTGTGTGTGTGTGTGTGTGTGTGTTCTTCAGAACGTCATCCCATCACTAACATCATCGATGGAACAAATCAGTGGTGGCAGAGTCCGAGCATCAAAAATGGACGACAGTTTCACTGGATCACCATCACACTGGATCTGAAACAGGTAACACACACACACACACACACACACGCACGCACGCACGTACACACACACACACACACACACACACACACAGAAGATGTTCAGGCCACATCTGTTCATACGGACATGACTCGTGTTTTCAGAAGAAAAAAGAATAAGAATCCAAACATGTTAAAGAACAAACATGTTAAATAACAAACATTTAAACATACCAAGGATCTTTTAACGTGTCAGTTACGTGTTTAACCTGAGTTCTCTGAATGAACTGATACAAAAAATCTTTTTTCTCTCTTCAGATTTTTCAGGTCGCTTACATCATCATTAAGGCAGCTAACTCTCCTCGTCCAGGTACCACCTGTCTGTCTGTCTGACCTGTCTCTGACCTGTCTGTCTGTCTGTCTCTGACCTGTCTGTCTGTCTGACCTGTCTGACCTGTCTGACCTGTCTCTGACCTGTCTGTCTGTCTGTCTGTCTGTCTGTCTGTCTGTCTGTCTGTCTGTCTGACCTGTCTGACCTGTCTCTGACCTGTCTGTCTGTCTGTCTGTCTGACCTGTCTCTGACCTGTCTGTCTGTCTGTCTGTCTGTCTGTCTGTCTGTCTGTCTGACCTGTCTGACCTGTCTGACCTGTCTCTGACCTGTCTGTCTGTCTGTCTGTCTGTCTGTCTGTCTGTCTGTCTGTCTGTCTGACCTGTCTGACCTGTCTCTGACCTGTCTGTCTGTCTGTCTGTCTGACCTGTCTCTGACCTGTCTGTCTGTCTGTCTGTCTGTCTGTCTGTCTGTCTCTGACCTGTCTGTCTGACCGACCCGTCTGTCTCTCAGGTAACTGGATCCTCGAGCGCTCTCTCGATGGTGTGACCTTTGACCCCTGGCAGTTTTATGCTATCAGTGATACTGAGTGTTTGACTCGTTACAACATCACACCGAGACTCGGACCACCGACGTACAAGAGCGACACCGAGGTCATCTGTACGTCGTATTACTCCAGACTGAACCCACTGGAGCACGGAGAGGTTAGACAGGTTTTCTGTCTCTGTACCTGTCTCACCCCATATCACCGTCTCCCTCACTGACCCGTCTCTGTCTACCTGTCTGTCTCTCAGATTCACACCTCCCTGATTAACGGACGACCCAGCGCAGACGATTTGACGTCAGTTCTCCTGAACTTCACGTCGGCTCGTTACATCCGACTGAGACTTCAGCGAATCAGAACTCTGAACGCAGACCTGATGACGCTGAGCGAACGAGACCCCCGAGAGATCGACCCCATTGTCACCCGGAGGGTGAGACAGATTATGAGAGAGAGACAGTTGCAACAACCGGGAAATATTTAACCTGAGCGATTTGAACCCAACAGCTTTTAGTTTTTTGTTTCATCTGGTTTGAGTTTCATGTTTTTATTGATCAGTATTAATTTATTCTCTTAATTACTGTACTTGATTACTTTTCTCAGTATTATTACTCCATCAAAGACGTCTCTGTGGGCGGGATGTGTATCTGCTACGGACACGCTAAGAGCTGCCCGCTGGACCCTGTTACCAAGGTAACAACACACCTGTCTGTCTCACTGTAACTGTCAGTTTCCATGGACTTGAACCTGTGTGTGTGTGTGTGTGTGTCTGTGTGTGCAGAAGCTGCAGTGTGTGTGTGAACACAACACCTGTGGAGAGAACTGCAATGAGTGTTGCCGTGGTTACCACCAGGAGCCATGGCAACCAGGAACTGTCTCCGAGGGAAACACATGTGAAAGTAAGAAACAGAGTGAACCTGTCTGTGTCTCACTGTCACCTGTCTGTGTCTCACCTGTCTGTGTCTCACTCTGTGTCTCCCTCTTACC